CGAACTTTGGTAGAAGTGCACAGAAACCAAACAGAATTTTCCGAAATTTCCACAAATTTTCCATATTGTAGCTGACCATGTGCATATTCCCCCCCACACGGCCCTAGATTAACCAACAGCAACGCCCCTGTCCAGTATAGGACGCAATGAGCACAGGATAAGGCTTGCTACTTCATCATACTGCGAGAAGAGATAATACAAGGCAACTGGTCACGCCGGGGAAGAAGCGGAGAAACTCCCTTGCTGGTTGTGTCAGAGAAACAGTGAGTCGTCTTTAACTTCTATCGACTCAAGAATGAGCCACAGATTCTTCTCCAGCACGGAACTGGTCTCGAACCCGCCGGCCGATTGTGAGCCATGGGTCAACGTTACTACCATATCGGAAGAATATTCTAAAGAGAATGATCATTACAGACTCCGCAACCAACACAGACACCCTATTACGTGGCATGCGCCTTATTCCCATCGCCAATGGTGTCCATTTGAGGCCTTCCTTGTCGTGTATATGACGCCCATTCACCATAACCTGCCAACAACATGTGTAGGAGGTGCATTCCCTACAGACGATGGTGATATCGTGTACATTCTGATAGAAAAACCCTGAAGTAGGCCCGGCCCGGCCCCGGAACGAGCCGGTCCGGGCCGGGTCAAAGTCACAAACCCGGCTTCCCCGCCGGCGTTGCCGGGTTCATGCGGGTGAGCGGGCGAAAAATGCCCCGCAACTGTCTGCGGGTCATCCGGAAACCCGGCAGCGCAGATATTTCAAGCCACTAATAGTGCTTTTAATTGTACGTAGCGCGGAATTTCGCATTAATTTCCAGGAATCGCCGCGACTCCTCGAATTCAACGCGCACTTCGCGTTTCAATCGCGTGACTTGGCACATTGGAATAATGTTTGATCCATGCAGCCCTGATATTGGTTCTCCTTGATTAGAAGTTCTTATCGTCGATCATGTCCGAACGCCTTCCTGCCTGGCAATCCGGGCCGGGTCGCCCGGCCAACCCGGCGGGTCGGGCCCGCCGGGCCCGCTAAACCCGGTACATGGGTAAGGAGAGACTGCCGGGTCACCGGGGCCGGGCCGGGGAAGCGGTTTTTCAAACACATGACGGGTGACACAAATGTCTGTGAGCCTGGGAGATAGATTCCCTACAGGCATTTTCCGATGGAAAAAAACGTTAAGTGACGCGTGCACAAACGATCTCGCATGATCAGCGAAGTAGATTCAGCATCGTATTTTACCAGGGAGTCTCCATTCGCTGCCTTCCGACAGCTAATCTCGTCGATGTCATACGATACACTATCAGTGGCTTCGGCTAGGTCGCTGAAGAAGTGCCTGGGAGAAGAGACCCAGGTTCGATTCCCAGGCGCTCCATTTCTACCAACCTTGCAACCTCATCAGACTCCTTAAGCTCCTCTGCGAAGTTCAACAACTCGATCACAAGACTAGCACCAGAATCATCTACCACATTGGTAAAGACCTGAAATCCAATCATCGGCAATCCTAGGCTACCATAACCAGTGTGAGAAATATGAAAGTTGCGATCAATTTTGGGAGTTTCCTATTAATTCCTATACACAAATTCGTATATAAACTCCCATAATTAGTAAAGAAACTCCAACTGCGAATAGCAAATATTCATTCCTCCAAGACTGATCATAACAAAACATCACGACCAAACGAGCTACGCCCTGACCCTACTTCCTGATAATCAGGCACAGTCCGTACAGTGCTGGAGTCGGCAAAACCCTTGGGTATAAGGCATTCAATAGCTCCACCGTACCTGACCCCAGAGTGATCCATACCATCATCAACTAACTCGTGCGTGTGAATGATAGGACAGAAACCCAGCCGCCCTTGAAAGACTCCCATGCACAATCGTCCACAAGCATTTTCACCAACTAGCATAGCAAGGGCCCCGTCCTACAGCTGTTTATCCTCCAAATCTCCCGGCTCCCATTCAGAAGGGTAACTATTTTCTCGACGACATTCTCTATTTGACATTAATGTATATGCAACAATTCTGATCAAACACAAACTGCTTCGCTCCGCCCACTCTTTATAAACTCTCCACATCAGGTCAGCAGTGAAACGATAGTAAATGATCATTCAAGACTACCACTGCTACTCCAGGAACGTGGACGACCGCCACCACTGGTGGCGATCGCATAATGCTATACAATGACGTAGTACTTATGATACCATACTTTTTACGTAAGCCGACCCGCCTCTAGGCAGCACAGTCTCGAAGCAGTATGAGCCTTCTATGACTCTAGTCGGACCCTTCGTCATCCCCATCATCGTCGCTTTCCGAATCCATCGCGTCAAGACTGTCCTCATCTGTCTCCATAGCAACGTCATTATCATAGGCAGCATCATCTCCACCGTTGGGGGACTCGACGTACCTGACCAGCACGGACCCTCCTCCCAGTGCTACTCTCATGCGGTACGTACTTCGCCAAGGGCTCGGGAGGGGCCACCTTAGCTGCACGCTGTTGGGTAGTGCATACGTTAATCACTGCTTGGACCCTACCGTGCAGCTTGGACAGAGCAGAGTAATACGCAGTACGTTGGTGGAAGGACGCCAACAAGGGAGCTGAAACTGGACGTTCCTCAAAGGGCAATTACCCTCCTACTACCAATAACTGCTTTGGTGTCCTCAGGATGCCCAGAGAGGTAGCCAGCATGGACCAACAGCAGATTGCGTGTCCATTCCGACAGGACCACGGCCCGGGCAGGAGACTTATCCAAAGCGATGCAAATGTGCGACAATATCTGTGCAGCTTCTGGACCTGATAGAGAGCTCGAAGACTAAACTCATCGCCCAGATTACCAGTGATGTCCCTCGCAGTAGCTGCCATAACAGCATTGTTGGTAGTATGAAGGACCCGATCAAGAGCCATGGTGTCCCCACCAGCCAAGCCTTGTCGAACAAGGGCCGCCATAGACGCCGAGGATCTGCCAACGAGGTCTACTGGGAGCCTCCAAGGCGTATCAGCTTACCTCGACTTGTCAGCCGGTCGCTTCGCTTTCTTCTGTGCTATGAGCTTCTCTTCAGCCTCCTTGCTTTGCTGGGCCAGAGCCTGAAGGACCGCCGTCCCCACTCGACGATCGCTGATACCAGTACTACTACCTTCATTTGCTCCTCAGTGGCCGCACGCTTCGACGCAGGTAGCTGAACCATAGTAAATGAGGGACTTCAAGCCTAATGACAGGGCCCACGACACGACACAGCCGCCCTATCTAGAACTAGTCACAAGCCATCCCAAAGGCGACAACGAGGCGATTACGCATCCCCCTCTAATTGGGTCGCTTGATTTGATGCAACCTAACTGCCAGTGCATAACGGAAATGCATCACTTCTGACTGTATTGCATTGCATACAACCTTCCTTGCAGAGCGTATGGCAGAACTCCGGGACCCTAAGACATAAACGTCACGCGCCACGAAATTACGCGCTCGCCCCGACAACGCAAGAACGAGCAGCAACCCAACTGAATGTAGATGACATCCAGTGCTCATCGCTCATAATATAAGACGCCCTTTGATCTCTACCACTCATGGACCGACAGGAACACAAACCAGACAGAAGTAGTAGTAGGAGAATGAGGTTTTATGATACTATAATACATTTGATACAAATCTTGACGACAGTACGACTCAAATCAGACGTCACTTTTCCTTCGAGGGCTTCTCCTCAGAATCCTTCTTGGGAGCCTCAGCACCCAAATCAGGCCATCCGAGTCCACTCGGCTGCTACCCTCACAGCTCTTGGGTTCCTCCACTTTGTTTTCGTTACGAGAATTATCATCGTCGGAATCATTCAAATGGAGTACGTCCACGTCCTGGGGTAGAGAACTAACCGACGAGTCTTGCCGAGCACTCGAAGCTGATGGTTCGTCCCGTTGGAGACTCAACGCTATCGCTTGTTGCATCATCATTTCCTCCTCATCTTCACTCTGGGGGAGACCTAAGGAAATCCCGCTTTGTGGCAAAGTGCCGGGGGTCCAAAGCGCTTTGATCGTTCCATCACAGACACTATAGTCAGTGGACAAAGTCGACTCTTTAGACAGCTTTCCTATTCATAGAAGAGAGTGGCACTAGAGGAGTGACGAAACTCCAAGAAAAAGTGTCTTACCGTAATCATCGAAGGCTTCCTGCGTTGGTCGTACCATGTTCAACCCCAGAGGTTGACCTCGGCTATTCTGATCAGAGATAACTAATGACGATTCGCCCGGAGGATAAATTACCTCAGTTCCCAACGGCCGCCGCTGAGGCATCGTACTTGGGGGCGAGTGAGAATGGTCGCGAACCTGTGGGGCCACCGGTAGGGGACCTGAATGGTTTTACGAGTGATGCCAGCAGACTACGAATAACGCAGAATTACGACAAGAACTTCCGACAAGTTCCGAACACTGCAGAGTATTGAAAAAAAATATCGCCACTGAATCTGTAAAGAACTTGGGTCTGATCGAATTGTGGTCTCCTTCTACTGTGACCTGCATAAAATCCATAATCGTCTCTTTGGGTTCGCAAACTGGTCCTTACCAAATTCTTGTCACCAGCGTAGGCGTCATACAATGCCCGAGCATGATGCGGTTTCACGAAGGTGTCACCCTCGGCAGCTACGAAAAGTGCAGGGATGAAAGTCCTGTCAACCTATGACCGAATTCACAGCGGAGCGAAGCAATAAATCTTACATGTTTTATGGGCACCAAATCGTTGATGTCGAAATCAGCTCGGCTTTTAATAGAATTACGTATCATACTCATCGCAATGTTAACCACGAACTTTGGCACTCGAAAACCACCGAATTCTATTACCAACTCTTCAGCTACTATACGCAGATCTTGGAAGGGCGAGTCCAGCTGAAGAAATACAACGGCACGGCATCAGGAATCAATCGACTTTCTGGACCTATCGTGACTGCTCTCTTTCTGATACCAATTTTCTGTCAATTCACAGAGCAAGTGAGGTGACAGAAATACCAACCCGCCAGCCAGCACTCAGACTTTATGCAGGGTATAGCAACGAACCCCTTCGAATTTTGTGGCGAGTGACAACTCGTGAGGTACAATTCTAAGGATCTTGACGAGCTCTCACCCTACGGACGACATTCGAGTTATTCCACGTAAGTGCCAGCCACATATGCGTCATGATCAGCAAGTAGTCATTCTTGCCAATCGCGAAATCCCCAAAGGGCACGTGCCACGACGAGAGCTAGAGACACTCCTCATAATATTCATTACCACCATCCCGGCTATACTGGGGTCCCTGTCACCATGGAGTAGTGCTGTCGCCGCTCCCATGCTACGACCCCACAGACCAATGGTGCCTGATAAGGGATCATGTGAGGCTAACTGAGAGGCTCGGGAATCGTCGAAATATATGTCAGCTTCTGAGGTGAAGAGTCTCCTCGCTGAACATACGAACTGGGCCAGAAGTGTACGAAAACTAGCGAAAATTTCCCAAAATTTCCTCAAAATTTTCATACTGTCACCAACACATGTGATTGAACATGTGCAAATTTTTCCATACTGCATTGAATGCGACTTACTGACAGTTCCCGTCGCTCTGAGGTGCTCTACTACGCACGCGAGATCGTCTTTTTCGAAGTAACTGCATGCACGATATGTCCGACGACGCGTTAAAATAGGATGCTTACCCTAAGCTGACGTACTCTCCATCAGATCTCCCCGAGCCTGCGAAATCGAAAGTAAAAACTGTGATCCCAAAGGGCAGGAGGACCGGAAGCGCAGACAGGCCCTCAATGCGAGAGCTGCAGTTTCCTGATAGTGTGTGAAGGAATTTGCATCTCTCAAGTGTCATGGGCATAATACCGTGGAGATAAACAACACAGGGGAGCTCTTTGGCCGGTCTGCGTTCCGGTTGAAACCAACTGCATTGTAAATGCTTTCCATAAGGATTTTCCAGCACGAGATCAGTTCGGTGGATCTAATAAGCAATCGAATGTGAGAAGAACGGCCCGAGCCTCCTTCCCTACTACTACTACTACTACTACTACCACTACTACTACTACTACTACTACTACTACTACTACTACCACCACTACTACTACTACTACTACTACTACTACTACTACTACTACTACTACTACTACTACTACTACTACTACTACTACTACTACTACTACTATTACTATTACCACTTGTCCCGCTATTCGAAATCTCTTGGGGCCCAGATCCTTGAGTTCATATCGATCCCTTGGAGGCCGTATAATCGCCTTCCACAGCTCTGCGTACTGGTCTGAGATGCCCATACAAGAAAACTGGCGCAAAGCAATAACTGCGCACTGCGAAGATTTTCATTCATCTTTAACAGTAAGCTTGCTCTATGGATGTGATTCTAAAGTTGAGAATGAATTTTGGCGCTCCCTCGACG